CCCCAAAACCCCAAAACCCCAAAACCCCACTTGACTAGTTAGAAAATGAATCTGAGGAAAATTTAATTAAAGCAAGTATAAATTTTAAAGAGCCACACATACTATAATTTAAATAAACAATAAATATGTCTAAAATCTTCATGCCATTCGTGCTGGTTCCTCAGCAGCACATCATGATTGTAGAGAGATTCGGGAGATACATGAGAACTCTAGAACCAGGCTTTAAGTTTAAGTTGCCACTTTTCGAGAGTGTAGCTTACCATCACTCACTTAAGGAGCAGGTCTTGGGTATTGACTCCCAAACTGCCATCACCCGTGATAATGTGAAAATCAGAATCGACGGAGTTATGTATTTCAAGATCACTGATCCCTTCAAAGCCTCATACGAGGTCGCTCAGCCAATCAGAGCTCTATCCCTGCTTGCCTAGACTTCAATGAGAAGTGAAATCGGTAAATTAGATTTGGACAGAACCTTCGAGGAAAGAGAAAGTCTTAACGTTAACATAAAGGAAGCCTTGAACGAGGCCTCAGTCAAGTGGGGTATCGAGTGCATGAGATACGAAATCAAGGACATCAAGCCACCCGAAGAAATCAAGAGAAGTATGGAATTGCAAGCAGAGAGTGAAAGAATCAAGAGAAGTAAGATCCTCAACTCAGAGGGAGAGCGCCAGTCTAAGATCAACATTGCTGAGGGTATCAAGCAATCTGCCATCCTCGACGGTCAAGGTAATGCCTCTAAGATTCTCGAGGAAGCCAGAGGTATCTGCTAATCACTTGAAAGAATCGCCAAGTCTATTGAAAGCGGCCCAGGCGGGAGAGGTCAAGATGCTCTTAGACTTAAACTGACAGAACAATATCTCGAAGCTCTCAATTAAATATTGTCAACCTCTAGAGTGCTCATGCTACCAAATGAAAGTGGCAGTGGAAACAGCGATCAATGGTCTACTAGCAAGATCGCTACAGCCATGACTCTATACAAGCAAATTTTGGGACCAGCTGGCTAAGCCGTAGCTTAAGCTGCTGGGAAAGCTGAAGGAGACCTTTTCAATGAGCTCAGACAGAGAGTAGCTCAACTTGATCAATAGAGTAGTGCTACTTAAAATCAAGTAGTTAGAGAAAGAAAATTCTAGTATCACGATGATAAGGCTCTCTATTCAGACCAGTGATTCGAATAAAATGATACTTGCTTGTGGATTGATGATGATTAAGATGCTTTATAATATCTAAATTCTTAAATTATCATAAAAAATCATTAAATATTTGAATTTACAACTAACAATTAACTAACCGTTAAATATATACTTATAATACCTAGCTATCAATAGACCTGATTCTAAGTGAAAATCATCTGCTAATATTCTCCCACTGATTTCCCCTAATCGTGCTTAATCATTCCAGTTTTGAAATCTTTATATTATATTCCAGAGTCTTTAATGAAACTGATAGAGTTTTGGTATCTTATATTCTACTGTCTTTTATCTTGCACATATAGTTTGAAACTGTGTGGGTTAACTTAATTCAGAATGCATTTTAGTTTAACAACCATATTATTCATTTGCTTCTCATGATTAGGCAAGAAAACTTAATTATAAGACTTTATTTCTTTAAGAAGGTTTTTGAGTCTATCATCTCTGTCTCTTAATCTTTTTCCCTAACCATTTTTATCTTCATTTTCTAGAACCACCAAATTTATAAGTTTACTTCTTAATGAATTTATGAAACCTCTTATATCTCTTTCGATCTATCCATTACATACAATCAAATTCAGGTTGATTAGAGTTTGATCATGTGATAATCTGGTGGGATTGAATGTTCCTCTGAGGAAGGTATTGGCAAGTTCAGTTTAATCCAAGCACATATCTCTGATTACTTGTTTCCTAAACATTATGTTCAATATTTTCATAGTTTGTTTAGGATTTTGCATATTTTCATTTAGCTTCTACAAATAGCCGATATAACTCTAGCTGATAGTTTGAAGTAGGGGCAATTCATTTTGCCCTAACTTTGCAAAGTTCTAAGCCACAAAGCCGTCAGTTCTTTGCTTAAACTTAAGAGCAATAGTCATGTATGCCTAAATAAATTTTCTCTGCCTCCTAAGAGATTCATCCTTATCTTTTATAAAATCAGGTGTTACTTTTATATTGACTATATCCCTGAAATGTTCAAGTTAAAGGTTGAGATCTTAATTAGTAAGCTCGTGCTGTTCAAGAATTTATTAAAGGTAGCCTAAAGTAGACTATTCTTGTTCGAAAGCCAGTTGATTTTTTACTTCAGGGTTGAGACTCTGATAATTTGATTTTTCACATTATTCTTTTACTTTTTGGATTTTGATATAAGTAGCCTATGTGTCAGAGAAAACCCTTTAAACTTCTTCTCTATAACTGTTTAGTTTTTACCTCATCATAACTATGCAGTCTTTTTCTGCTCTTACTAATTTATCCCTCTTACTATAAGATTTAAGAAGTTTTAGTTACATTTTCGATGACTGAGTTAAAATACTTAGATCTTAAGTCATTTTCGTAGATGCATTCTAGGAATCTTCAGATAGCTGAGAGATCTTAGAGTTCAATCTTTATAATATATAATCCTTCGACTCATCAATTAGCTCTGAAACTTTCAATATATCTCTGATGTTTATTTATTCAAACTAACTTAAAATGACATGATAATATTAAGCATACCTTTTGAATTAGTTTGTTTTGATTTGTTGAATTTGATAATTTTTCAAGGCAATCCTTTGTTTTGTCCTTTGCAATTTACAATTTTTATTCAAACATAAGTTTGCTCTTATTAGCTTGAGACTAATTTTACTCAGCAGCCATTCCATTATTTTTAGGTTTTAATTCATCGATCACAGACTTCAAATCAGCTAGACTCTTAAGAGCATTTTTGCACTCATTATCGACTATATTGAATCCTCTATATGTATTCAATAATTGATTTTAATCTGGTGTTGATTGCATCCTTAATATTTAATCTTGATTTCGCTATTGCTTTAATTAACTCTTAAGTTCTCTCACATACTCTTGCTTTTCCCTCTTTTTTTATTGCAATTCCAAGATTCTCTAACTTTGATCCTAGTTCTACTAAACTCTTTATCGGTGCATGTAGTGGTCATTATTCACTGTTCTTATCTTATCAACCTATGGCTTAGTAGCTAAGTGGCCTGCAAGAAATTTGATGATGTCTTAAGTGGACTTGCTTGTCTCGAGCAATCTTAATATATCAAATTTAGTCACTCTCAAGTTATCGAATTCCTTTTAGAAAGTCTATTAATCATATTTGATATTAATATTTGAGGATGTTTCAAGTTTTGCTTTGATAAAGGATTCATACCCCAGATTGTTATTCAGCAGATCTGCTAGACTTGCGCATAAATTTAGACTTTAATCACTCCCGATATTCATTTTCAAATTTATAATTTATCACTCTCTAAAATACTCTCAGAATACATCTTAAGGGGTTTTGGGGTTTTGGGGTTTTGGGGTTTTGGGGTTTTGGGG